CCAGCGCCACCGCCAAGCCCGAGAGCCGGCGGCCCCCCGCCTGCTGATCCCGCCTCTGCCTCTCGATACCGCGCCCCCTGCGGGGCGGGGCCTCGGGTTGCCCCGCCCCCGAAATGTTCAGACACCCACGCTGTTCTCAGCCCCACAAAACCCCCTGATCCCCATGTGATTTTTCTTCTTGGGAACCTGAAAGCGGTGGGTAGGACACTGGACTCTAGTGTCTGCGGGGGCTTGCACACAGTTGGTGCTCAATAAATGCCTACTGATTTCATTGTCCTTTGAAGACATGCCGTAATAAAGCTTCTACCTCTTGAGAACACCCCATTTCCTATTTGTTCTTTCACTTGTGTGTTTATTATCACGTTCTGTTACTCCATCCACTACCCCTCACTCAGCCCTGCCTTGGCGTATTTGTAACAGGGAGGAAACGAGGATTCATGCCCGAACAAGAGTGGCTTTCCGGTACTTAGTCACGATAGCAGAAATCACCTACGGAGCCAGGGAGTGTTCTAAGGCCTTTGCGTGACATGCATCGCTTCAAGTCTCACAATGACTCGGTGACGTAGGTGCTGTTATCCCCATTTTACAGAAGAGGACCTGAGGTTAATGAGCTTGCTGGAGGTCGCTCAGCTGGTGCCTGATGGATGAGCCAGGGCTTATGCTCCTAACTTTTCTGCTCGGTCCCCCAGAGCCTTCCAGACCCTTGCACTCGGGTGCTGCCCCCTACCCACCAGGTCCTGACAGCTGCGTGGCAAAGGTTTGGATGTGCACCTCTTGGGGCTTTGGGATCAGGTGAGCTGAAACTTAATTTTTGCCACAGAGGTTCACTGGCCCACTGCTTTGCTTGCTGGGTGAGGGAACTTTTCCAGCTGAGCGTTCCAGGAGACTGGGAATCTCCCCTTCCAGGCCTCGCTCATGCAGCTGAGACCCACCGGGGAGCCGTGGGTTTCCAGAACACGGCAGGGTGAAACTTGCCATGCTCAGAAGCGTGGGAATGCAATTCCCTGGAGAGGGGGCTGGTGCTGGTGGTGGTGGTGGTGTCTTCCTGAGCAGGTCAGAGGCTCCGGCCGGCAGACATAGGTCTTGCCCACTCATTTCAGGAAGAGGAAACAGCACCGTCCTCTGCAGTGGTGTCTTCTGGGTTCACAAGCGAAGAGGCAGCAATAACTGTGATAATAGTAGCCAAATCTCCCATTTACTGGACACGTACTTTGTTCCTTATGCTTCCTTGGGCACCAGGCCAGCCACTGTGCATGTATTATCTCATTTAATCCTCACAATAACCTCAGAATAGGGACATGAATGTCCCTATTTTTAATATGTGATGAAACTGGGGCTCAGAGAGTTTTAGTGTCTTGGCCAAAGCCACACAGCTAGTGAATGTCCCTGTGCCCTACACAGTGGGTGAGGGAGATGAGGTTTGATGGGGTCTGTCTGACTCCAAAGTCCAAGTTCTCAGACCCAAGGTGTCAAGTCCTACTGCCTTAGAAATCACCACCCAGGGGAAGGGACACTCAGGTCACTGTAGACACACCCAGGCTCTTAGAAAATTGAAGCTTGGCTTCTTGGCTGCTGCTCCATCAATGACCCAATGACTGGTAAGCACTGTCATGGCATCCACCCAGCAAAAGGTATTTGCGTGAAAGCAAGGTCAGAAACGCACCATTGATTCATCCAGGATGTTTGAAGTTGAGGCCAAATGACCCCTGTCAGGGAGGCGCAGAAAGGCAGTTGTGCTCTGGGTGGGAGGGGCCCTTATTTCCATTTCTGAGATTTTGTAATTCCCAGTGGGAGGTGATTTATGGAAATTGTTTACAAACAGATGACATCACCCCTGGATCTGCATCTCTCATACCAGTGATGTGTGTTGAGGCAACAAGCCCTGGGACCTGGTGGAGGAGCGAGGCAGGAAGGGAGAACCGCCTGACTCAGAACAGACAAATTGGAAAGCCAGCCTGGGGGTGGGGGGTGGGGGATGACCCTTAATCAGGAAACTGAAGCATAAATTTTGGGGAAGAAAGGCGATGACTCACCAAGAGACACGTGAATCTGAGTGGAAGTACCCACCCTTGTACACGAGGCACTTTGATGTGGATCAGATGGCTGACCATGAGATGAGGGAACCGCCAGGCTCAAGTATCCCTGACCCCCAGGGGCCACCGCGAGGAGAGCCTGATGAGAAGGATTTGGGCGTTCTAAGAATAGCTTTATTGCAGAAACCTAGAAACCTACTTTGGGTGGGCTGGAGCTCTCTGTTCACGGCTCCACAGCCTTTTCTGACTTTTAGCGGCAGGTAAGGTGTATGTGTGGCACAGGCTTTCCCTCTGAGGTGGCAGCAGTCACCCCTCCGAATTCAGGGCCTGAGGGGAATTGGCAACAGCTCAAAGGTTGTCACTCAGTACACTGCGACAGGTGGAATCAGGTTTCTTATTATCTTTGGCTAATAACAGAGTATTATGAGTAAGACAGTGACAACAATGCTGAACGTGTTTTATTCATGATGGCTCCAGTTCCTGATTAAATTATGTCATTATAGTAATAAAAACAGCAACTGGTATTTATACAGAACGTAGCAGTTTATACGGTGTTTTCACATACCTCTTTCACAATTCTGTAAGACAGTATTATCATCTCTGTTTATTTGAGCAGGAAAGTAGGAATCATTGCACAGAGCAGGAAAGCATATGATTATCGGGTCCTTGCTTCTTTGGAAACCTGAGGCGAAAGACGTTTCAGGGCTGCTCAGGGTTATGTTGGCCCCGTGAGAGGTTTTCGCTGCTCGGGGAGTAGCTTGGCATTCCAGCTCCTTGGCATACAGGTTTGATTATGAAATTGATCAGATACTATGAGCTGGACATTGTTTTACTGAATCCTCACAACTCTCCCACAAACTAGATTTTTTCTTACATTTTTGGGTTAAGAAGACTGAGATACAGCGTTAGGAAGCCATCCCAAGATTGTACAGCGTGTAATTGGCAGAACAGGGTTTTGAACTTTGTATGTCTGACTCCAAAACCCATGTTCTGAATACTGAACTCTAATATGTGTTTTTGGAAAGAAGGGGCATGGTTTCAAGCCTGAACAGAGGAAGGAGAAAGGAGATCCAAGGTGGAGGTGCTGGTGTAGAAAGACCCTGAGGGCACATCCTTAGAGAGGAGAGGCGAGGCCAGATCACGATGGTTTTGCGTGTCAAATCAAGGAATAGAAACAGTCTTACTTGTGGCATGTGATGGTTGGAAAATGATTTTGAAAGAAGTGCTTTAGAAACATAGACACCGTTCCACACAACACCTACAGTACTCCCCGACGCGACCCTGAGATTAGTTAGGCAGTGGTGATTAGGATGCCCTGGAGAAGGAAGAGAATGGAGGGAACACAGGGCATCACTGTGGAAAGGTATAGCGGCCCAGGCTTGAAATGAGGACGTGAATTCGGTACATGGCAGTGGGTAAGGAAAGGAGACGATAGGTGTCGAAAGCATTTGTTCAGAAGGAAGAACAGACAGAGCTGGGTGATGGAGAAGAAGAAACTGGGCTTCTCTGAGCCTTTGTGCCAAGGGCCAGGAAATGAGGATCATTGGAAAAACAAGGAAGTCGGGAGAAAGGAGGTGGGAGGACGAAGAGGGTTAAATTTGTTCCTGGACATGTTGAAGTTCTGGCAATATAAGGCAGGATGTGGGGCTGGAAACTCCAACACAGAATCCCTGAAAATGGATATAAACACAAAGTATTAAGTCTTCCAGAGGTAGAGTCGAGTCCTTGGGAATGAATGAGGTTCCACCTCTTCAGTGAAATCTATCGAGAGACCAGACCTGGTCTGTCTGTCTTGATCATTGCAGTAAACTTGGTGTAAAGAACAGAGACTGGCTCACAGGAGACACTCAGTAACTACTTGTTGGGAGAATGAATGAGTGGGCAGCTAGAAAGTTAAGAGTTGAGCGGAGGAGGAAATTGAGCAGTTAGGGGGAAGCTGAGTTCTAAGTGAAGAGAGCAAAAATAAAGTCAGAGAAATTACTCAGGGATTTGGACTAGGCAATTCTCAAAACTGTTTTCAGATCTTCGATTCTAGAAATCCAGGTGGAGGAGAAGCAAGACTGCAGAAGGCAAAGGACGTCATCTGAATCAGGTTAATTACACAGGATCTTTCTTCCTGCTGCATGATCCATCTTGGAATCTTTAAATCACTGAACAGTTATCATAAAAGATGCCATCTGGAGAGAGAGCAGTTTCATCTTAACTAAGCAGAACAGGTTGAACAGGAAAACTGGCATTCATATTGAGTAAGGAAAACATCCTCTAATGACACTGCAGCAGATCAGAATGATTTGGCCCGGATAAATCTGAAATATGTTAGCTTGCCTCAGGATGTGTGATAGTCCACCCTAGAGAAGCAAGTATCTCTTCTTCTCTTATCAACATGGCATCAGAGCGAGAGCTATGGCTTCCAATGTGCCTTATTTAATGATGTATCTCTTAAGAATGTATCAGATCTATTGCCAATAATGTAGCTATAACAGCTCTGCATGTTTGGAAACTTAATTTGCAGTGCTCAAAGGCTAGTCTTCTATGCTTATGAAATGTGATTACATGGATCTGAAAGTCAGGAATTAACCTTCTCCCTCTTTGCCCCCCACCTCCCATCCAGTGATTTTCTGTTCATTCATAACTGCAATCTTTCATTCATCAAAACCATATTGATCACTTACTGTATGCTAAGTACTGTATAATACAAGCAAGCAACCCTTCTCCTGCAGTTTAGTGGGAAAGAGAGTCAAATATCATGTGATACATGCTTGAAGTAAGAACCATAGAGAGGGGACAGCTCATCCAGAGGTGAGGTTGGCAAAACGTATTGTTTACACTTAGTACTGAAGGATGCATAGGAGTTGGCCAGGCTGAGTAGATAGGAAAAAAATACTTAAGTTGAAGTAAATAGCCTTAAATGCAAAGGCTGGCGAAGTGAGCACATGTTTCGTAGCCAATAATTCTGCATGGCTGGAGCTCAAGGAAGTCAGGACAAGTGGGCGTATACAGTGGGTCGGGGAATAGATAAGGCAGGGCCTCGTACAACTACCCAAATCTCCTGGAACTTTATCCCGGAGGGCGGATGAACCGTGACATTTTAGGGCTCATTGGGTCTCTCCTATGTCTTCAATCATAACAAAGTTGCCCTGGCTTAACAAATGCAGTCATTAACTTTATATCCAGCTACCATGCCCACCTATCTTTTTTCCCTTAGGGTCTTACCCAAATTTCAAAGAGTACCTCTCATTATTTTGTCTTTTATTAACTCTTCCTTAATCCCATCGAATGATGCTGCACTGA